CGGACTAGAGTTTTAGCTTCGACCGATAGTTGAAAAGAACCCTCGCCTGATTCTGATATTAACTTCCGCCCCGGTTTACTGTCGGACAATTGTTCTTTCCAGAATACAAAATAAACTTATCTTGCCTCAGTTACTTACTACGGACGCGCATTCTATCCTCAATACCATGGTTGTTTTACTGATTCTGCAGACGCGCTTTTATTGGGACTTCGATATGCCCATTAGTCACTCACTCACCAAGATGTACTATTGGAGTAGTAACCGCGCCTAAATGATAGCGAGGCTTTGTTACAGTTTGTACTAAGCATCTTTGCTTTAAATATCACCTTCCAAGCGAGTAAAATTTATCCAGCTCAGGCACAAACAAAACTGTGAATTGCTTCGATTGTTCATGATCTGTTGCTAAACAAGAGCCTTGATGTGAACATTTGCAGCTGTATCAATCAGAAGCGGACGAAAATAATCCTGTGCTTCTCCGACAAAAGCAAACTTGTGGAATTCATTACCGCATATTGTTACTTTCAATTAGTCAAAAAAACTTGCAGTCGCATAAAATGCGTTTTGAGGTATTATTCCGAGGCAGAAAACTTGGTAATTTGCTCGCAGATGCAAGAGGGAGAAAACCCTGTAAACAAAGATCATTACTCAGGCTACACAGGTAGGCCGAGTCTAGGTTTCGGTTTCCAATCTAACTATCTATCGTCAATGTCGAAAGTGTGTAAGCCTGCGTTGCTTGACAGCCTGCGATATTCCTCTTCAAGCATGAAAGCGAGGCAACTGTGAAAACGAGGCGACTGAAGAGAAAACATGTGACTTGGTGTGCTCTTCGTAAGTCTCTTTACTCTCAGCATCTCGTGGTGCGAAGCTTGATTGTAAATCACGAAGAATTGCTTTCCTTCTGGAACGCTCAAAGTACTTACAAACGCACACGCCATTTGTGGTAGACCCACATTAAAAGATGTCGAGCGTCAAGGTTTTAAGCTTATGATACGAATAATTAATGATAGAACTCGTCATGAATATGTTATTTAAAATTTATATAGATAAAAATAATCCTGCACAAATATGATTACCCTATACCTTTAGGCAATTAAGCTCATGGCATAATTAATGACTGGATCAACGTCTTATTTGAAATTCATATAGATAAAAAAAAAACCCTGCATAAATACGAGTAAACCGTACCATCAAGCATTTAAGCTCGATAATTTTAATGCTGTAATGAGACGTACAGTGAATGATTGAACTCGTTATCAACGTCTTATTTGAGATTTATTTAGATGAGAAAATCCTGCTCAAATATGAGTAAACTATACCATCAAGCATTTAAACTCGGTTCATGTTTATGCTGTTACAATTATCATTTTGAGCGCTTCAGTAAAGCTTGAACTATTCATTTGTTGATTGAGGGTATTCCCCAATTCCCATTAGCACGTGCAATACTGGGGGAAATTTAGTTTTACAAGGATATGGGAGACCTTGAAACGAACATGATACACAGGATATTTGACAATATTTGCAAAATTCACCTAATAAACCCTTAATTTCCACTTCCTTTAAATTAGCGTACCAGTAAATCCTAATGTTTATTGGAAGAGAGTAAAAGGTATGACACGTCAGGCAAAAAATATGAAAAAAAAGCAAGGATATGCATGTTAAGGCGAATTTGCCAATTTTGGTATGTAGTTTTGCAGATAGATAATAATTATGTTTCAAACATTCAATTTCTCAACTCATAACAAAGGCCACATTCGCTTTCTTCAAGCTTGAATCTTGAGAGATATGCACGACGCTCAAAGCTCTCGCCAAATGGAGCCTCCTAGACTTCTTTTTACGTGTCACACATAGGCAGCCCGAATAAACACCTGTAGGCGTCTAGTTTCGTTACAATGCAGATATTTACTGAGCAACTATGCGGCGAAACGTGACATAGGCCGAATGGAGAATAGTGGAATTTGGCGTGTGCAGGTGAAGAAAGATTTTTATTGCAGCGCCGGTCTAAATTTGACGAATTTTGCAAACGGTAATTCGAAAAACGCAGGATGCTATTTTGTACTGTTTTTGTAGACTATATGTGTGTTTACTATTCGGTGGGGTTGTATGGTGGGGTTGTATGGTTTCTGGAAGCTTGGTTTTTGAGATAAGAGCAACCTTGCATTGCTGCAAGACCAATAATTACAAGTTCACAACCATGTTTCATCTCTAGATTAAGGTATTCTTTGATTGACGATGTCAGCTTTTGAGCTTGGTTACGAAAGTTTTGTTTTACTCAATATGCGCTAAACTTTCTGATCGCAATAAACCCTTATTTTCGAAGTTTTCCAAACTTCTCAGTGAAACCTCGTGACTCGGTTGATTTTGGAGAAGAATTCGAAGTTGCTTACACAAATAATTTAAAACACGAAGCTTCTCAAGAGTTCTAATAAGTGTTTTGCGTGTACGTGCGTCTTTCTTTTTTATTTTTAATTTATTCTACCGTTGGTGTTTTGATTTTTTGTTTTATTTTTATAATTAACTACTCAAGGTCGGTCGCACAGCCTAGAAGTTCCGACAAAGGCTAACATTTTGTTATTGTATAAACAAAAACCAAGCTGCTTCAAATTTTAAAAATTTTAAACACGTAGTACATGATAACAGCATGTAATAGCTATAACTCGAAAGCATCAGATTGCGCAATGCTTCTCTCTCAAAAAAACATTCTGTCACCTTTTCAGTCGTTTTCCGAGCGCGGAAATCATTTAAAGCTATAAACTACAATTGTGTGAGCGCTACCTGAACAGTTTGAAATTTATTTTTCACAGACCAGTATGAATAGTTCTACTCCTTCGAAGAACAATGACTACTAACAAAGACAACATTTTTCCCCAACGGTACACTGGTGATTCTTTTCATGTCAAAATGTGTTTTGTACCCAACTGAAAATAAGAGGGTTGCCAGGCTATAGGCTTTTAACGAGGTACAAATCACTTGACTAGCTTCGGTAAGTAATCCTAAGATTTGACACCGAAAAATCCTGAGAAAACCTCCCAAAAAAATAACAATGATAAGTGCGAGTGTCCTATTTTGCATTGTAATGTATGTTTATAATTCTCATAATTAATGAGATGGAATTCGTTTTAATTTGGCCTAGTGACCTTTCAAAAAACCTCTTGAAAACTGTTTTGATGGTAATCAATTGTTTCCTGAACATCTGCCTGATGATTAGGCAATTTTCTGTCAAGTCGATAGCAGTAAGCCATCAATATTAATTCATGTTTGCTTAATGCGGGATTTTTAGCTATAACTGCGACTGCAAGCCGTTTTAACCGAGCAGAGATGACTACACCATCTTCCAAAAATCTCGTTACCCTCTTTTATACAACGATTATTGTCTTCATGTCCGTCCCTTGGTGGATTGAATGTGTAAACGGTGGTAAGCCTTATAGAAAAGTAGTCAAATGTAATTCCTAATCCTTAATTTAACCACTGATACAAGATCTTATTAACGGACTGGGTCTTCCTTCGATTAAAATTTGAGAAACTGACAACGAAAAAGGAAATTTTTTAGGTTAGTTTGGAACTCAGATTGCGTCAACGCAACACTGTAAAAACAACGAATGCACGAAATAAGTAGGTGGAAGAAAAAAAGCCATAAAGCAAAAGGAAAATATATCTTCTCAACATTAGATGTAGCTTCTGACAGTATGTAAATTTATATCAAAGAACACCATAGTTTACAAGGATTTGTCTTTGATTCCGCCTTTTCATCAAGTCACTTTTTGCACAGGATATCTTGTTTTGGTGGTTTTTTTCCAGAAAAATCAAGAAAGATAGACAATACCGCCGTCTATTTTTTTCCTTTTTGAATAAGAAGAAGAAGAGAAATATTTTGGAAAAATCCAGCTGCGGTCAATCAACGCGAAACTCATTGGATTCAAAGTTTTCCAACTCTTCTGCAGTTGACTTTGCATAAACCCACTCAGTAAACATTGTTTCACTATTTGTCTTCTGTGTGCTTTTTAGCTTGTTTAAGCCGCTCTTGAAGTTGTTTTCTAATCGGCCAAAATCACCGGGTGGGCATGGTTGTTGGTCTAAGTTGTATATATGACATACGGCTCTTCTTGTACAGTTTATTCAGATATGTTTCTTTTTCTAGATGACTGTAGAACGGTTGAGTTCAAAGTGAGGGAAGCAAATAAGGCTCTCGTCAAACACGTCATGGTCTTTTCAATTTTCATTTCAACAAAATTAAATTTATCGTTGTTTCACATGTTCTCTGTTTCAATTATTTCCTTAAGCTTTCATCTTATCGTTGAAGAATTCTTTTTTAATTAATTATCACTTGAAATATTTTAGCTTAAAAAAGTGTTGATGGTCTTTTCAATTTTCATTTCCACAAAAATAAATCTATCACTGTTCAGCATGTTCTCTGTTTCAAGTATTTCCTTAAAATTAAAATAAATGTGCATGCTTTCTCGCACGTCTTTGTCGTGGAGCTTTTGAAGCGGTCCAACCTTTTTTTATTTTGATCCTTCAAAAATTAATCTGCAGTTGAACGCGCTCGACAGATCTTCAACTTCATTTAACGCATACATCAAAGTAGAAACACTGAAAAACGTCTTGCGTTAGGCAATCTTCGGCAAACAGTTAATTAGTTATTTACAAAGGCTAACATCACGCATTTAAGTTTTTTTTCTCTCCTACAGTTTTTCTGTAATTCTTAAGACTCGATGTTTTGTTTTCAAATTAAGTTAAGCCATGTGATTATTCAAGTGACGTATTCGCAAATTTTAAAAATAAAATCCTATAACTGCGAAGCGTGCTGGTCTCACATCTGCCGCTTACATTAATAATCATTTTCCTCTTTTATGATTCTGCAATTCGATGTATTGTTTTGAGTGTTGAAATATTAGGTCTCGTTGCATTTACAAGAGAGACCAGCGTTTCATTTAGCTCGCTAGAGCTAGCTGAAAGGCGTTCTCACTAACAACAATATGATACTGTTCTCACCAGCCGTTGGTGATCCTTCAATGAGTAAGGTCCTAACTTTAATATGGATTTTTCGTTTTGGTGTACTGGTGTATGGAGGTAAGTGACTCCTGCCAAAAGCTGGCATCGCTTACACTTTAATCTATTATAACTGTTTTATTCCTGATCAGATTCATATCCTTGTGTTAATGGTACAAAAGGAAGAAGAGAGTAAGTGTGTGAAAAGAGAAAACTCATTAAGTTAACTTTAAATCTATTCCGAGTGACGATGTGAAATTTCGAATTCTCAAAGTAAATATGGCAGAAATGGGATATAGCACGATAGCACGTTATTGCAAAACTACCTTGTTTACAATGCCGTGATCTTAGTTCGGCGTAAAGGAAACGTGGACGTGGAGAGAAGATCTTTTGGTAAAATTATTGCGGATTCAAGTCGACATTTGTCCAAACATGATCTGTTAACAATTTTTGGGTTGCTGATGTCCGATTATTATGAAATGAAAACTGAAACGGAAAAACACATTGATGAGGACCTTGAAAGCTAAAGGTGTAATAGTATAGATTTGCTATCGTGAAGAATTTCTAAAGCTGACGTTTCAGAGCGAAGCGCTAAAGGTTATTGAGTTCTACCCCCATCGAGGCAGCGTCACAGTTTCCTTAGAAACCTACCCCCTCATTTGAAAACCAGATCCTATTTAGAATCATAATGGTGAACATTAATCCTATTCTTCAATGTAATTGGTAAATAAAAAAATGATTGTCCGAAAAAGCAACTTTTCTGGTAAGATGAATATGATGCCTTGAATTCAAGTTTGCAGGCTATTTAGCTAAGTCACTCACCTAACGAAAAGAGAGGAAAGGTTTATCACCTGCCTTTCTTTCGAGGATGAAAGAGCGTACCAAATATTCGTGGCTTTTTTTTTTTGGTCGAGCGGCAAATCAAGAATTAATTATGTAGTTTCCCTAGCATTTATGGAACAACTTTCAACAAATATTGCGATAAGACTTAGGTTGTCGGCTTCCTTTAAGCTTGTGTGCTGTTTGATTTCATTTCTAATTGGCTTCTTCATTGGCTTATTTATTTCTTGCCAAACCCTTAGATGATTGCCGAGTGATTCAGTTCAAAGCAGGAACGAAAAACAAGATCTTAACAAAACACGTCATAAGAAGTGAACAAGCAAAGGACAAGGATATCTGCGAGTTGAAATGCTACTTTGAACCAAACTGTGTGTCCTATAACTATGGTCCGCTGGGAGATGAAACATTCACATGCGAGCTAAATAACAGAACTCATTTGCAAGTCTCTCCCAGTTACTTCGAATATAGGAACGACTTTTTATACAGAGCAATCATTGTAAGTAAATAACAATATCAATTTTACCAGGATGATCGTTCCGCGAACGAGAAACCTCTGTTTCAAGTTGATCCTCCTCGTTTATTTATTTACCACTTTATTATTTATCTCTCTAAATACTCAGTCTATTTATTTACTTGTCTAAGCTTTATCTATCTAATTACTTGATTCATCTTTTGCATTTTAGAATTCCTGTGAGAGCAATCCGTGTGTTAGTAACTCTACTTGTCAAGCGGGGTTTGGTAGTCATGGTTACCGCTGTATTTGTTCTGACGGATATGAAGGAGAGCTTTGCCAAATAGGTGAGAAAGGAAACTCCTCGTCATGGCAGGTCTTCATCTCCCAGGTTCATAGTTAAAGTTACACAATAAAGCTGCAAATAAAGTAGCCTCTCAGCAAGGAGAGTTTTGAATCCTCATCTGTTTAATCAATACAGCCTTAATATCTGCATTAAAGGATATCTCCGTCACCGGGTAAGGGGCAAGTTAGATTTGTTCTGTATGTGCTCCCTAAAATGCTAGAGGTTGTTAGAAGGATTGAAACCCCAAGGTTGAGACAACTGGAGACGTCGTTATAAGATGTTCTTCTGCAGCATTAACCGAGAGGTGATATTAAAGTATTGCTGTCGTGATGTGATAAATCCTAGATAATGGAGATTACAGAAAAACGAGAAAGAAAGAGAATATCAGAATAAGAAAGGGTGATACGAAGGGAAAACTGCCTTCATGTTGTCAACTATGGATATTTGATGCGAGGGCAAGAGTAGAAATGAAACGAATAAAAGTATAAGTTTCGTGCTGAAAGCAAATAGTTCAGTGGAATTTTGGAATAACTGACAGAAATAATTAATTAATACGATCGAGATGAACTTTAGATAAAAAAGATCTATTTCAAAATAAGGAATATTATGGTTTTTTTTCATCTTCCTTTAATCTTGAATACATGTTGACGAATGCATCTTAGGCAAGGAGAAGTGTTCCTCTGATGGCAGTTGTGTTAATGTTATGGGCTCATACGTCTAACTTTTCCGTCTCTTGTAACTCGTGTGTAGATACTGATGAGTGTACATCAAGCAAACACGATTGTTCCTCTGACGGCGACTGTGTTAATGTCGTGGGTTCATATCAGTGCTTTTGCGAATCTGGATTTACTGGCGATGGTAAAATTTGCCAAGGTAACATTTATTTTATATAAAAGTGCAAAGCTATCGATTACTCTCTTCATCAGTCTTGTAAGACAGAAATAACTGATGCAATTCGCAGGGTCAATTGTTCTTAAAATTACTGCTAAAAAATGGTAAGTCTTTACATGTTTATGTATCTGAGAAGACTGCCTCCACATCATAGTCAGCAAAATTGCTGCTTTAAGCATATTTAAAATATACAGAATGATGCCGAACTTCTGGCAAACCTGTGAATCCGCGACCTCAACACATTACACTTTTCAGTAGATTCTGGGAAACGCCAAAAAAACAACCCTACCTCTTCTGATAATTCCCCTACACCTTGATTAGTCTCATATTCCATTTCTACTTAGATATCGATGAGTGTAACGATGGAAGCCATGACTGTCACTTTGCGGCCGATTGTACAAACACCGCTGGATCATTCGACTGCAGCTGTCAGTCTGGACACCTTGGAGATGGACGGCACTTTTGCTCAGGTATATCTTGATCTTTAACCCAAAACACAAACAAATGTGAGTGAATAGTGTGGTTTGAACATAACCACAGTTATCCTTTAATTACTTTCCTCAAATAAATCAATTTATTTTGCGTTACCATTTCCAAGACACGAAAACCTGAGGCTTTCTTTGAAACCTGGCAAACTTTTTAACAGATAACTGGAAAAAGGTCAACCTCGATCCTGTCTGTTTTGGGACAAAAAATGACGACCACGGAACTTTTGATATCCGAGAAGCCGGTCAAGTCTACACTTTCAAACTCGTACATACAAGTGGCTCCGTTACATGCGACACTCATAGCTCACCGACCAAATGGGGATGCTTACGGAAAGAATACGGAAATTATAACCTGATGACAGTGATAACATACAGCAACAAAACTGTTCTTCCACTTGCTGAGTTCGTGAAAAGTAACGCCGAAAACAAACTGTATACTTACCAACTTGATGGTACTGATGTCAACTCTCCCACGCTTGTGTTTAATTTTCTCCCCATGCCCTTGGTTGTATCTGTTGGCCAACAGTTCCAAATTTGGTATGCGCATGACCTGGTTGGTTATACCGAGCATAATAACGATGGCGAGACATGTGCGGACGTTTATGCTTTGTACCCTTTAAACTGAAATTCAGCATTGAACTAAATCTGAGATTTGGAAGGTCGAAAGTTTATTTATGGAGATCAAAGTTTTAATTTGATTTAACAAGATCAAGTTAGAGTCAAATTGAGAGAAGAAAAAGTACGCCTGAAAGATTATTAAAATGTCATGGGGGAGAGGGTGAAAATAGGCGTGTGTTGCTGTTTTGAAGGCTAGAGCATAATCTTCGAAGATCATTTGGCCAGCATGCCTACTCATGCCTACCGAAAGTGAATGTAAAGCGCGTACTATTAAGTTAGAAGTCAGCCCACCAGATTAACTCAAAGTGAATAAGAGTCGATCAGAGAGAGAATCAGAGTTTATCAGTCAGTCTGAGTTATAACGAGTTAAGTCAAGAGGGATGAATTTTCTGTAAGTATAATTGTATAAGAGAACATATATCAAAGAAGATTGAAAAGGACGGATCGAGGATCCTTGGTGCCTTTCGCCGAGCGAAGTTCCATCTGCAGTATTTCAGAAACCTTTTCTACAGCGGTTGCTATAATTATTATTTAGAAAGTTGAGACCTAAACAATACCAGATATAACGTTCTCATACCAATGTAGTTAGATTTTAGCATTAGCTTGGAAGAGAAGTGTCAAATACATTTAATCAGTGTGGTTTCAAGTAAAAGAAGGGGCCGAGAAAAATTCATTTAACATTTTAAAAATTAACAGACCTTCTTAAATTTATCATCATGTGATAAATTTATCATATAATGTGATATGTAACCAAGTTCCAATTAATTTCAGTCACTGCTGTTATTTGGGAATGATAACAGAAGACGGATTGAATAAATTCCACATTCAGCCTGGTTTTTTTAAAGGGATGATAACACTATCTACTGGATGAATTGCTATCCGACGTGTAGCGCAGTAGGTTTCGTTATTACTTATCGTCTGGATAACGATTTATCCGTTGTATAGCAATGCCCTTTATCTGTCCTTTAAAAAACTGGTCCTGATGGACATGTAGCGAGATTGACGCTCACTGAAACAGGCCTGAGAGAGTGAGAGAGAGACAGAGAGAGAGAGACAGAGACAGAGAGAGAGAGAGAGAGAACAAAAGGAGCTTCGTGAGAAAGAACTGAGTAGACGAAAAGGTGGCGGACTATCACGGATACAGCAGATGCCACCTCCAATTTATTATATTTTTTATCCTTTTTATATTTTATTAACTTTTATATATCCTTTGCTTCGTTGTATGGATAGATCTTTACGAATGTATCATAAATAATGACGATTGTTCCTTTTACGGCGACTGCACTAACGTTGTGGGGTCATATCAGTGCACATGTAGGCATGGATTTACTAAAGATGTGAAAAACTGCCAAGGTAAGCCTTTACATCAGTGAAATTCGACCCTCCGATAACATGGCAAGGAGCAAGTACAGTGAGATTTGTTCCACATCTGATCTCACGAGGAACGTTAAAAGTTGTCAAAGGAATTAAAATCCCCTAAGTTGGAGCAAATAAAGTTAAATGTAATCTTATTAAATGAATGATCTCATCCAAGATGATATGAGGAGCAAGAGAATATCAACTGTTGATATTCAATTGATACTCTCTTGATGTTCTAGAAACTAATAATGTTGTAAGTTTCGTGCTGAGATCAATTAGATATAATTCTGGAGGACCTGACCGGGTGATTTGAATGCAGAGGGAGACGGGCTTTCGGAAGAGAAAGGATTAATTAGATTATACGGAATTTCATACTTCTTTCGTTTTCGTGGATCTTGAATAGATTTTGACGAATGCGCCTTAGCCAAAGACGATTATTCCTGTGATGGCAACTTTCTTAATGTTATGGGTTCACACGGATGCACATATAAACCTGGATTTACAGGTGTTGGTAAAACATGTCAAGGCATGTTTTTAACTAAAAAAACTAACAGGCATGCAATAACAAGGGTGCCGACTGATTGTAAAGAATAGGGAATCAGCACAAAATGTCCTACTCAAGCGACACACCTTGCTCAAAGGTAGAAAATGGTTGAAACATGAATGATTTAGAAACCAACTAACCGCAACAGCAATTAAATTTTGTTATCTTTATTTTTTCGCATTGATTTTTTTGCAGATATTGACGAATGTGCTCTGCAAAAACACAGTTGTTCGTCTAACGGGGAATGCGCCAATATGGTGGGTTCATATCAGTGTATGTGTAAACCTGAATTTACCGGCGATGGTATAACTTACCAAGGTGAGATTTTTATTTACTAAGAAAAACAGTTGCGATAGGATAAGAAACAGACAGGGAAAGACTGAAGGACATGTTGAGTGATTGACAGAAACCGGAATAGGCTGAAGGAAAGAGAGGATTATGATCGTAAGGAACACATGGATGAAGCAGAAACTACCTCATTTGCGTAAAATTTTTAATCTTTTCTTGTTTTCGTTTTTATGCTTTGTCTTGTTCCTTCTATTTAATTTGTTTATTTCTAACTTAATTGATTCATGAACAGAGCTTTACGAATGCATCACAAACCAAGACAATTGTCCCTGAGAGAATGGGCTGGGCATGCAGTGACTGTGGACTTGTCCTGGTCAGCTCCGGCCTTTATGGATGATTTAAAACCGACACTGAAAAGGAAAAATAGAAAAGGTAGCTTTAAATCGTCTGCGGAAGACAACTCGGATAATTAACGGATAATTTAAGCAAAATTAAATATGTTCAATGGTCGTTTCCTGTAATCCAATATGTCAGTTTTAAGTAGGTTACGTCGGTGACAGTAGTATATGATTTTACCAGGCGATATGTCGTTAATCCTCTACACTATAACGAGGTGTAAATAGGCGTCAGGAAGTAAGCCGCCATCATCACGATTTAAAAGAGCGTGGGCGGAGTTGATATGCAAGGCTTCCAAACAAAGGCGCTGGTGGTAACGTCGATTAGTAATGATAATTGTAGACTTATCCCACCCAATAGTATGGTTGTTTAGGCATGTGTACTTCGACAAAGCTGAATTTTCTTTTTCGCAAAAGAAGACCACTTTTTGATGGTCTTTCAAACGTGTACCAAACTGGCGTTTGGTCTGTCCGATATACTCGTGACCACAGTCATTGCACGGAATAGAATAAATAGCGTCGGTTCGTATTTATTCTATTTATTCTATTCCACGGCAAAAAGTTCAAATTTTCATATCGGGGGAAAGTGAAAGTGAATTTCTACCTTATGTCCGTTTTTTACCAAAACATCTTTCTTAATTTATTCATTTCGGTAAATTGTATTGTTTACATGGTGTCAATACTCATTAACAAGGAAAACGTTTGTTATTGAAAAAATTTTGTTTTCACGAGTTCGCCGTTTTGTTGTAAATTTTTTGCAAACGTTTTAGAGCTTATTAAAAGAAAGGGAAAAAAATTCGATTGAGGGTTAAACAGGTATCCATCGATCTCAGTTTTCTTAGTGTTTTCATCATTCTCATAAAATAATCATAACTCATAAAATAATCTTATGAGGGACCTAAAGCAGCAAGGAGGGCAAAGATAAGGAAGACATCAATTACAAAATGAATTGAATTTATGTTTTAAGTTAGAATTTCGTCTCTAAAGGAGGGTCGTCTCGAAGTGTTTAGTACCAAACAGAAACTTCAATGATAGTGTCAATCACTTGAGTTTGAGTCTTAAATAAGACCAAATTACTGCATTTCATCTTTGCATTTTGTTTTTTTTTTCCCAACTTCCTGTTTGCACCACACTGGTAGCTGTAATAGGTTAGTACAGAATGAAATTGTACATCCCTCTCCGAAGGTGTACTTTTTCCCAAGAATATATAAAATATATTTCCTCTTAAAAGGTAAGAATTTTTTTTTCCATTATTTTCATTATTCATAAGGAGAAATCGAACTCCCAGTGGAAGACCGAAGTAATTTGCGTTGGCTAAGTTTCAAGTTTACAGAAGGCTTGTTCTGAATTTGATACCCACCTTCTGGTATTATTCATGCACAATTATGATATTGATATAAAAGGCCGAGTGTCATTATTTAAAGTTTGCCATCAAGCAGTGGCTTAAACCTAAATTTAAGCAAATTTTTTGCTGAGGAGATTTCTTCCCTCCCGAGAGTGTTCGTTTAACTCGCTTATCATCTAACTATGGCTGATGTGCGTCCACCGATATTTCATTATAAAAACAATTCTTCACGTGTTCCGCATCAAAAACGCCCCAAAGATTTGAAATTGAATTTCTGCTTGAAAGGTAGGAATAGTTCCTTTTGACAGTTTTATTGAGGGTGAATTGAAATGGAGATGTTTAGTCCATAGTATATTTAGGAAAAAAACAATCGAACAGGCGAAAGTATGATATGGAATGTACCAACTATGGCCGAAATATTATGAGAAAAATGTAGAGAGGTATATTTCTTTTAGACTTATGACATACAATTATTATTGGAACAACTGAACTAAAGTTAAGCAGAGTTGCAATTCATTAAAAAAAGAGATGATGTTGAAAGTAGCTCGATATGTTTTCTCACAAGTTTAATTTAATGCGAAAGTACACCACTGCGTGGTACAAAATACGTCTTACGTTCCCTCGATTCACTAAAATTGCCTAAATATTTTTTAACTTTTCAAACAGGAAAAATAATGGAGAAAATGGAATATTACCTACTCTTCACTCTTTTTACATGTCTGGACTGTTTTTCTGCAAATAACCAGTGCGGATTAAGTAGCATGGGAGGTATGGCTCTTAATTATTTCCGTTTTCAGGATATGATTTTGTCAGCCCTCCATATTTGCTATGTCCTGTGCGAACTAAATCACCTTTCAGAGTTAACTTCCATAAAAACGAAATAGTGAAAAACAGAAGATAGTAACCATTGTTGGTTCCCTTGAGTATCACAAGCCATCCAAGATCATTGTATTTCGGCGGCATTTACCTTAGTAGCCTTTCTAAGAGTGATTGTCCCCTGGAATATATTGTTTACTCTCTTCACAATATAATTGTTTGATATCAACCCTCACGTATTGTGAGTAAAAGAGTATTAGTTTTGACCATCTCTCGTAAAAGAAAAAAGGTCGAAAGAAATTAACTTTTTGGAAATGTAAATTCCGTACAAAAGGCTTTCGCGATGAAGACAATTTGACTGAATTACTACCCATAATATGGAAAGGTTTGCCACCTGTTTATGCTTTTT